TTTGTATTTTTAGTACATACACGTGATATTAATTTTTTTTTATTGCTTAGATGGTTGGACGAGCTTACAGCCCACCTGGTGTTAAGTGGTTACTGGAGCCCATAGACATCTACAACGTAAATGCGCCACCCACCTCGAGATATAAGTTCTAAGGTCTCAGTATAGTTACAACGGCTGCTCCACTCTTCGAACCTAAACGCATTACTGCTTCACGGCGGAAATAGGCGGGGTGGTGGTACCTACCCGTGCGGACTCCCAAGAGGTCCTACCACCAGTTAAAGTTACGTAAATGGTATATCATTATTATTAAATATCTTTGTATTTTTAGTACATCCACGTGATATTAAATTAAAGTTGATTTATTTTTTAATTGGATGACGAAAGATATCGTTAGCATTTTCGGCATAGAGAGTACTCGCTCCCTTATAGAACGAAATCATCACGACACAACGACTTAATTAAAAGCGTAAAAAAATCTGTTTCTTTATCGTTGTCGTATCACTCTTGTCAGAGCGGTCGTGGTCGTCAGTCAGTATCATTGCTGTGGGCAGATGCTATGAAATAAGTCTTAGGTACATATCAATATTAAAGCACAAATAGCTCTATCAAATTATCATTATTAACAATTAAAAAAAAATGAGTTGATTTAAAATTAAACTAGTTGAGGAAACTGACAGTATTTTAATGTTTATCCAGAACAGCACGACCCTATCTCTTTCTTCGAATATCCTCAAAGGGTACAGGGGAGAGAGTATACAGGGGATTTCGGGGGCGATGAATCGATCTAGCTGCGATTTATTTACAGAAAATGTTGTTTTATTCGTGTTTTCAATAATCAACTCTTCCCGACATCTATTGACGAATAATAATACTAATTTTCTTAATTGAGGGCAACTAACCAAGATGGCGTTATCAAAAAAAAAAAAACTTTCGTTCGCTGAAATGAGGCCTTAATCCGACCGTAAAGGATAGTTTCCACTGGTCGATTTTTACCACGTAGCAGTCACGCATTCTCCTGTGTTACACAATACAATTGAGACTTCGATATCCGATCTAAACATAGACGGCGGCATTCACGTTGTCCATGGACTCGTTCTAGCTAAGGCAATAAGTAAATAAAGCAGTCGCATATGTTTAATTACTGTATACATCTGAACTTAACCTAGTTAGAAACTATTGAAATCAATAAAAACAATTATCATCAATTTACTGGTCATCATTTATCATTTTTTGGTGGTAGGTGGTAGGACCTCATGTGAGTCCGCCCGGGTAGGTACCACCGCCCTGCCTATTTCTGACGTGAAGCAGTAATGCGTTTCGGCTTGAAGGGTGTCGCGACAGCTGTTGTAACTATACTGAGACCTTAGAACTTATACCTCAAGGTGGGTGGCGCATTTACGTTGTAGATGTCTATGGGCACCAGTAATCACTTAACACCAGGCGGGCTGGGAGCTCGTCCACCCATCTAAGCAATAAAAAAAAACTTGTGATTCAGTCGCAAAAATTGAGAATAGATTTATTCATGAAACGCTACCCGTCTTCGAGTTATCCGCGTGCTTTTTATTTCTATTACGAAATTGAATTATTCGCTCACCATTTTATTATGAAAGGCAGGCCAACGGATGATAAAAAAGAAGAAAACTTAAAAACCCGCCTTTAAAGGTTACATAGAGAGCATAACTTAGCCCTTAAGTTGCTTCGCACGAGCGCTTAGCGACGCGCCTTTAAGAAGCTGAATAATAGTTTAAAAGCTTGCTTTTGGTAGGGCGTCTTGAAGCTAGGACAAGTAATAGGTAATTCTGCCTATTTTGGCCACGAAGCAGACATTGGTTTCGGCTTGAATGATGAGACAACTGTTATACGATGTAATTGGGACATTGACGTCAAATCTCCAAGTGGATGTAGGCTGTTGTGATATTTTTATACCCGTACCAAAGCCCGTTTTTATTCATTTTAGAACTGTGTTTTATTTATTGCTTAGATGGATGGAAGAGCTCACGGTCCACCTGATGTTAAGTGGTTAACAGAGCCCATAGACATCTACGACGTCTACCATCTACGATCTACTAAAGTCTGTTCGATAGCTCAGTAAAATAAAGGTTTTTGTTCTTGAGGTTTTATTGTTAAGTGGACTGTATATAAAGTTTTAATGCAATATTAGCCGCGAGTCGCGCGTGCGATTCTATATCGTTCCAGTAGTGTTCTGTTCCGCTGTGTGTGTTCGGCCCTCGCCGCTCGAGTCGTCGATGCCGTGGTGGTGGTTGGACCCCCCCGCAGACCTCGTAGTCCCCGCTTGTACGTGAAGTACTGGCGCGGACAAGTCCGTTTCAATTTATTTTAGAATTGTGCAGTGCAAAACCATTTAAAAACTACTAGCTAATCCCGGTAATGGTGTGAAAATAAAATATAATAAAATATATCGACGCTTGAAAGTTAAACGTGACTAAGCGACAGTGCGTGAACTTTACAGTAGACTAATTTAAAGTTGAAATACCAGAAGAAAAAAAAAAAATTTTAACGAATCTAGCTGTAGTAGAATCTAGCTAGTAGCTGTAGGATTGAAATGTACAAAGCAGTTATTGTCGCTAAGTCACGTTTGCCTTTCAAGCGTCGATATGTAAAAAAAAAACAATGTGATCGCAAACCGAACTAATATCGTCTTTATATTTATCCTGTTGAACCTGATCAGGATATTAGAGCGAGGTTACATACAAACATTGTTTCATTGCAAACAAACAAACATAAATACCAAAGCAATACAATTTGACAAATCGACTTAGGTTAGACTAGCGACCCGTCCTCGCTTTGCTTCGGAAACATTAAATTTTATTATTGATAGTTGAGTCCCACGAACATACCTGCGGTTATTATCGTACCGCGGGTGACGCCGCGGGCTGAAGCTAGTCCAAAAAAAGTAGCCTAAGTTACTCCTTATATCATCAGCTACCTGTCAGTGAAAGACCCGTCAAAATCGGTCCAGCCGTTCCAGAGATTAGTCGGAACAAATAGACAGACAGACGAACAGACAGACAAAAATTGTAAAAAAAATATTTTGGTGTATGTACCGTATATACTATATTCATATGCATGTAGTAAAAAGCGGTTATTTCAATATTACAAACAGACACTTCAAATTTATTTATATGTATTTGGGTACAAAGGATTTTATACAAAAAATATTTACTATCCAAGAAGATAACTACCCGTACTCGCCCGCTTCGATGGGCATTTAAAATTAACATTATTATTTATTGTCATTATTATTAGGGAGTCCAACACTCATATTAGCCTATCCATTAAGTACATGTATTTTCTACATGGATACCAAGTTTCAAGTTAGTCGGATGGATAGTTCAGTAGTTATAACGGAACATCCGTAAAAACCACTGTAGATTTATATATTTATTCTTTATTTGTACACACTTTTAATTTAATACAGTAATTGCGATAAGATATAAAAATGGCGAGCTTAACTCAACAATTGAGTTATCTACCAGCTAATCGTTCTCAAAGAAGGAAAGCTTTACATGAGTGGGTAGATGAGTACAATCTAATTAATTTAATTATTGATACTATAGACAATAACAATAAAAATAATAAAAATAAAAACTAATACATAATATATCAAACTATATACATACACAATTACACACAAAAATAACATAAACATATACATAGACGTACATATATAATGAAATACATAAAATAAATACATATAAGTTAATTAATACTAAATTGATAGATAGTGCTCCTTTAATGCCTTCCTGAATACTTCGAGTGAGGGACTTGCACGGATTGAGTGTGGAACTGAGTTCCACAGACGCACAGACTGCACAGTGAACAAACCACCGTAGCGGCTGGAGGAGTGAGGGGGAAAATTAAGGAGAAGGGATCTACTTGTACGACAGGGTACACCACGGGGCATCTGGTACTCGAAGCGCTCACGGAGGTACTGGGGAACAGCTGGGTTATTGAGGATGTTGAACATAACATACATAAAACATGTACATCACGGCGAAGTCGGATAGGCATTATATATTAGTATAGATTTTACAAATGTAATTTTTTTAAATGTCGTTCGCTCAAATTACCTATATTACCCGTAATTTTGAGGACCCTTTTCTTTAACCTTGTATAGATAATTGAATGCGTTTCAGAATTCCAGTGCGTAACACATAGTCTCATTTTAATGTCTATAAAAATAACAAAGGCAATTGTCCTGTTACCTCATGATTTGTTGGTGGCCATTGCGTAAATTAAAGCAATTTAACTAAAGTGCTTCGGCCATTACTGATGGGATTAAACGCGCGAATGTAACATGATGGTGATGGGTTTTATTTAAAAAAAAAAAAAAAAGCCTCGCATTCATTACCTTCTTTTTTGTAGTCTGTACAAGGTTTATGTACTTTAGCCACAAAATGCCTAAAATATAGTAAAAATATAGTATGAAAGATTTTATAGTTTTGCTGTTTGTATTATAAAATATAGTATGATAGATAATAGATTTAATAGTTAAGGTATCAGAATTAGATAATCTGATATTATTTACTCTTTATCAGTATACTAGATTAATAATACCAAACTTTATAAAATGGCTTTCATTATGTGATAAATTTAATATGAATAACGAAAAGTATGACTGAGTTTAAATATATCTACTTTATTAATTTATCTCCAAAGTTTATCCTATTTACGAGGGGGAATATTTATGAATTCCTAGATAAGTCCAGTCATGTTCTTAGTAGGTGAGCTCACGGGGCTCAAACCGGAGTGATGCTAACACCGACCCTAGCAAGAGTAGTGCTTAGCAGAATCTACCACCGGATCGGAAACGCGACCCACTGAGAAGATCCGGCGAGAAACTCAGTGTGCTTATGGTACCTAAAAGCACCGTTAATGGATCGGGAGGATCCGTAATGACGCGAGAGCCATTCGCCATCAAACTGGACGGTATTTTCGTCTGGCTACAGCTAAACAAAAACCTATTTTTTTCATTGCAGGTTGGTTTTCAGCTTGTGGATGTCGCGGCGGTGCCCTGGCGTCGCCCCGGGGCTCCATAGCTGCATTACTGCGAGCGCGAGCCTTCGCCATGGTCTCGCCGCGGGCCATTTCGGCCTACAGAGCGCGGCCAGCCTCAGGTCAGTGCAAATAACGACCAACGTGAGAGTCATAAAATCGCATTTATCCAACAAATCCATTTATTTGAGTACAGCTAAGTGGAGCTTAGATTAAATGAGTCGTCTATTATCAAAGGTGGCAATCTGTGCATTTGGACAAAAAAATGTTATTTATATGTCAATACAGATTGATTTGAATATAATCGTCTCCTTCAAAGAATACGGTTCAAAACCTGCATTAAATAAAGGTTAATACTTAACCTGTTATTTATCTAAGATGTCGTTCAGAAGAGTTTTGTGACTGCCAATGGAATACAAAGTCAATAATTCGTTTTTCTGATTTACCAATAATTTTCCAAAAGTCACATTGCCGGCNGTTATTGATATGTCAATACAGATTGATTTGAATATAATCGTCTCCTTCAAAGAATACGGTTCAAAACCTGCATTAAATAAAGGTTAATACTTAACCTGTTATTTATCTAAGATGTCGTTCAGAAGAGTTTTGTGACTGCCAATGGAATACAAAGTCAATAATTCGTTTTTCTGATTTACCAATAATTTTCCAAAAGTCACATTGCCGGCTTTGATAATAGTCGACTCAAATACTTGCAGTTTTAGTAAGTTCAAATATTTTGAATAATCTTTTTTTTTTTATTCGTTTTTATTGCTTAGATGTGTGGACGAGCTCACAGCCCACCTGGTGTTAAGTGGTTACTGGAGCCCATAGACATTTACAACGCGTCCTCAAATCTACAAGTGCACTGACGCGTAGGGATCCATGCGATATAGGCATAGGAGAGTATCACCATCTAAGCTTTAAATTGTAAATTGAAGCAGCAACGCGTTTCGGTTTCAAGGGTGAGGCAGCCGTTGTAACTATACTTGAGACTTCAGAACTGGGCGGTGCATTTACGTCGTAGATGTCTATGGGCTCCAGTAACCACTGAACACCAAGTGGGCTGTGAGCTCGTCCACCCATCTACTCAATATATAAATAAAAAAACGTGACCCAGCGATTTTCACCATATCGTCGGTTCATCTGGTAATCCATGGTGGCTCTCTATATACCTATAAATATTCATTTCGTATTGACGACAGATAATGGCCGGATCGGGGCGCAATACGAGCGCTCAGCCGCGAGACCTGGCACTCCTCTGCGGCTGGCCGGAGTGTTCGCTGACGGAAGCAAGGCTAAAGCTCCAAAGTACGCGCAGCTCATCGACCCACAAGGGAATGTGAGTGTTACTTACCTTCATTTATTTATCATATTCATAGTTTTGTAATATTTTTTTGTTAGCTTGGTATTGCCGACTTCAAGACGTCCGCTTAACTTGAAAATTCGCCCACGCATCACAAATTATATAAAATAACTCTATAATCCTCACCAATTTCAACAGGTTAAAAACGACGATGAAAACGTATGTTACGTTTTTTTTTAGGTGGTGGACGATCTCACGGCCCACCTGGTGCTAAGTGGTTATCCGAGCCCATAGACATCTACAACGTAAATGCCGCCATCTAACTTGAGATATAAGTTCTAAGGTCTCCGTATAGTTACAACGGCTGCCCCACCCTTCAAACCGAAACGCATTACTGCTTCACGACAGAAATAGCCGGGTATACACGGTACCTTTAGCATTGAGGTGACTTAACTAAATTTTTTAAGAAAATGAGTTTTATACTTCAAGCGACTAATAAACATGTATACTACCATTTTATAAAATTATTTTAGTCTCGTTTAGTCTAGAAAAGGACAAAGTACACTTTCCGTCTCTTTTCATCAAATCAAGCGCGTTAATTAATTAAAATAAATTAAACAAAATTAATCATTAATCGAAATTGAAAGATTACAATTCTTCAATTGCATTTTTGTCGTTTACCAAAAAACAAGAGCTTTAGATTCACTTCAAAAACAAAATGGATCGTGTGCGCGCGCATTCTTTGGCCTATCTACATATAAACAATAAATAAAAAAGAAAAACTTGTCAGAACAATACTTTTCCTTGTGAATCAAATTGAAAGTTCAACACCCGACTCTCACAACACAATTAACAAGACTCATTTATATTTCGTAATCAACAAAACGAATCGCCACCTCCTATATTCGAGACCACGCCCTAGAACTAGGGATGAGCCGTATTCTGCGGTCGCGTAGTGCTTTATTGCCGGTCTAATATCGATTTATCATCACCGGAATCGCCTACGTGCACTGCTTGTATCGTACAAAATGCTGCAAAACAAAAAGTCCGAGTCTGCAGTAATAAAAGTTTACAGTCTTATTAATCATAGATGAGCGATTATGCTTGCACACACACACACACAAACGCGTACACAGTTTGATTTATATACTCTATGTCGTCATAGGGAAACAGGGTTGCACAAAAATGAGTGCTTATTTATTATTATTATTATTTTTTATTGCTTAGATGGGTGGACGAGCTCAGAGCCCACCTGGTGTTAAGTGGTTACTGGAACCCATAGACATCCACAGCGTAAATGCGCCACCCACCTTGAGAAAGTTCTAAGGTCTCAAGTAAGTTACAACGGCTGCCCCACCCTTCAAACCGAAACGCTTTATTGCTTCACGGCAGAAATAGGCAGGGTGGTGGTACCCACCCGCGCGGACTCACAAGAGGTCCTACCACCAGTAATTACGCAAATTATAATTTTGCGGGTTTGATTTTTATTACACGATGCTATTCCTTCACCGTGGAAATCAATCGTGAACATTTGTTGAGTACGTATTTCATCAGAAAAATTGGTACCCGCCTGAGATTCGAACACCGGTGCATCGCTCAACACGAATGCACCGGACGTCTTATCTGTTACGCCACGACGACTTCAATTGTCATTTTGTTCAATTTCTGTTTTCTATGTCGATAAAATATTCCTTGGGTCTTTAATGGTGAGAATTACGTGCTAAGTTACAACCATTGCCTTGTTAAATGACACTTTTATGTATTGCCTTTCCATTGAAGCTATACTTTGGATCGAATGATAATATTTCAAAGTATACGGTTTTCTCTGTTACACGTTTATATCATCAAACATTAGAGTATGTCATTATTTCAATTTAATTTGTTTTCCACTGATCTTTTCGCTTTATATTTTGAAAATACCTATATCGATTTGAATCCAAGTCATTCTCGAGATAAGAACAAGTTTTAACGGAGCCACGTGACGGTTTGCCGATGTCCATTGTAAGCGTCGACCAGACTGTACATTTAAAAATAAAATGCACCTCTAAAACTATTTAAAGCTATTTTTAAAACCTTCAGAATGAAGTTGTCGTTTCGGTATCAGCCAATTTCACACGTCTCTGAAGCGTAATTACATTAATTACATCGCAAATTTTACTGTATTACCGTAATAAGCGAGTAATTTGCAGCGATGCGCAAAAGTAATCAGCCACTAGCAAATTACAGTGACCGCAAGGTTTTTTTATTTATTTTTTATTTTAAATTAGTAGTTAACAAAACGCAAAATCACTCCAATGCCTATGTAAGCTGTGAGGGCGAACTAGGAAAGGTCAGAGCGGATCGCGAATAAAAAAAAAAAATTCACGCGCGTTTTTTATCCTACGTTATGCTTGGACTAATTTTGTGCTGTAATTGCGAGTTTAGTAGAAAAACTGCTAGGTATATGTACTATGTTTCGTTTTTAACCCCGTAAATTGCAGAAGCTGTTAATTCGCTTCCAACGTTTGTTGATGAATGAATCAATGAATGATTTATTTTATTTCAGACAACAACAAGTCCATATGTGTACAAAGTATCATTGAAACATACTTAAAATTAACAAAACCAATCAAATAAAAGAGATACATTTATTAAAAATAATTACCAGTTGAATACATTTCAAATATTCCATTCAACTGATACTTACTTCGAACCAATCATTATTATTATTATTTTTATTTAGTCCGCAAGTGAACCATGTGATTGATTGTCACGCACTGGAAGAAAATTTTGTTAATTTTTGATGTTTAATATATTTTTTTTTTTGTTTCGTGGATATTCCTGTCCTATTCCCTACTCCCTGTAAGTTAAAAGAATGTTAACGAAAAACGTAAAAAAACTTTAACACTCGAAAGAACATTACGCGTTTTTTCTCTTTGTCTATTTTTGTTCGCCGTCCCATAGTTTTAAAAGTTTCACCAAGATAAACGCTAACATTTAAAACGCGCTAAAATCGACCTTACACCTTTATTTTACAGGTGAAATTCGATGAAATGTATCAGAATGGAATGCAAAAGTTAGACAAGCTTACATTTGCAGTTACATGCGCTAAGAACTAAAACATTTTCAAATTGTTTTTGAAAAATCTGAAGGTAATTTTAAAGTTGCCAAGTCCTGTAGTGAAGAATAGCAAAACCTTAAACTTTATTATCCGATTACAGTCTTTAAGACTGTGCGCTAGAGCTGATATTATTTCGCTATAAAAATAATGAGATTCACGTTTATGTTGTAGTTGATACAAGCGAAAATGGAACTAAATATCAGTGATATTAAGATTCTTTTCACATGTAATATAAAGAAGAATATTCTGCATTGCAAGGGCCGTCCGTTGAACCTTGTTGCTATGAGTCCAGTATAGGGATGTCACGATTTTGAAACGTTGACATGTTTTTTTTTCATTTTTCATTCCAACACTATCGTTTGAAGAAATGAAAGTTTTTGAATAATTTTCGGACAATAATATAGATTAATTTAGCTTGGATTTATTTCTATACTAAAATAATTTACTCAGAGACGAGCACAGGTAATAAAGACTGGTCGTAAAAGGAGTCTAAAATGAATTACCTGGGTACTTAGTTTCATTTACATTCTAACTTCAACACATAAAATTTTCAAAGTCGATGATCTAGGAACAAAATTACCTGCTAAAAACTCGAAACATCTCTTTATTGTCGTACGGAATGCAACTTAAGCTTTATTTTTGATATTGTTTTTACCATCGCACCGCCCGCCGACGGAGTAGAGTTCATCCATACTACCTGGAGCCACTGCGTTGATCCACAGTGCGTTTCCAGAGGTCTTTTTTGCCACGTACCATCCGGCTTTGGAATGAGCTTCCCTCCACGGTGTTTCCCGAGCGCTATGACTCGTCCTTCTTCAAACGAGGCTTGTGGAGAGTACTCAACGGTAGGCAGCGGATTGTCTCTACCCTTGGCGTTGCTGAAGTTCATGGGCGACGGCAACCACTCACCATCAGGTGGGCCGTATGCTCGTCTGCCTACAAGGGCAATAAAAAAAGTTGCCAGAATTGTTTAATAATCAATATTGGTTTCAAATGACCCACCATGAGACATGAGGCTGAGTCTCAAATATACTATATAACGACTGTCCCTAAATACAGGGTACCTAAATAGACGGTTTCTTCAAACGGGCACACGTGACTCCTTTCCGGCTGAAATAAGCAGGTTGCCATTTATTTAGGCTCACGCCTTACTTATCAGTGGCGAAATTAGCTACGAAATACCAAGTAGCTGGCCAAAAAAAAAAGCGTGAATTACAAAACTGATATGACTGTATCTGCTATCTGTAATATCATATAATGTCATTGATATAACACAATTACCAAGTATATGTCAAAAAAAAAAGACATCCGTGAATTATAAAATTGATGTGATTGAGAAAAATTCACGCTCTCAGACATAAATTCACAATATTAACTATTATTATATGTCTGTTTACCTGAAACGCTTCCGGTTGTCATTGAGGTTATAAATTTAATAATTTGAGGTTAATGTTGGCTTGTCGGGTTGTCGCAAGAAAGTACCGTCATAGTTGCGATGTTTAAATTCCTCTAGGTAGCTGGTATCGATTTTTCTATGGAAACACGTGCCCAAACGAACACGTAAATGAATGTAATGCACAATTAGCTTTGCGAATTTACTTGTTGACTGTTAGCTCGTACTTGTAATTACCAGCACTCTTGAGCTTAATCCAGTCTAGTTTTAGGTCTTACCTTATTCTGAAGTAACCATTCACTATGATGTGCACTATATTCATTTTTTTTTCTCCTACCTAAGCTGATAGATAGCCTTGAGAGGCTATTTCAGCGTAACCTTAACTAGTAGGTGAGCTCACGGGGCTCAAACCTGACGACGTTGCTAACACTAGCCCTAGCAAGAGCAGTGCTTCGCAGAATCTACCACCGGATCGGAAACGCGACCCACTGAGAAGGTCCGGCGAGAAACTCAGTGGGCTGTGTCTGAGGGTTAATTTACTTCGCCGCTTGCGACGCCCTTCGTCGACGGGTTCGACGAGAACGGTGACCGGTGCTTGAAGTACCTAAAAGCACCGTTAGTGGATCGGGAGGATCCGAAATGACGTGTTTTGGGCAACGTCGACTGCTTTACATTCTGTCCGCAGGATCGGGAATGTAGTTACCGGCCGCCACGATGAGAGGGTTCTGGTGTCGTGCCGCTTTATCGAATTGGACTATATTCTCAGCTACCTAAGCATTTATATAGACAAAATACAATATACACACATAAATGCATCCACTTTCATTTTATGTGTAAACTTTTCACAATTTAAACTCGCTAATTATTCTGACGTCACTAATTGATCAGTACCTACTTATTTATGGTCACAAGCGAATCAGTTATTATTCGATTTTTAAATATTGTGCATCTACCGCCATTTTTTTTCCAAACCATTATTGACAGCGGCTGTCATTTGCGTTTCATTGTACATAGCATTGGCTGTTAATTACTTGAGATCTGGCTGTATGTTTGACTTCGAATTGTTTAATCACGATAAATTTATGACATAAGGTTTTATGTTCTCATTATTCTCGTCTAAAAGTCGTTTCATTGTCGTTTTAAATGTAGGACATTGTAGATTAAGCATTTCCATCACGTCCATCAATAAACAGTGCAGACGTGACGATATCCAACCAAATATAACACAGAGACGCATTGTTTTCATAATTTGTATTCCAAATGTTCAAACAATGTCAAGCACTGTACTGCCTAAACTCATTTTATATTCAAGACGCAATAAAACAAACCATTATTGTCTTTCAAATGAGAAAAAAAAAATTAAAAAAATTCCGTAATGAATGTGTGGGATTAACTGTCTTAGGAAGTTCTTTGATCTGGTTTTATTTAGTCATCGATATTTATTTGTGTAACTCAACATTCGGGCCCAATTAAGTTAAATGGTTATTGAAATATTATGTAGGCGTATATAGACATGTATTAGCCTCCTTCATTGGGATATGAAATTGACTTTCAGGGCACAATCAGGATATCCGTGTTTCCGAATTTACCAATTGAAATCGGTTCTAATGTACTCATTCATTTCTTAATAATTTTGAAATATGTACATGTTTTTTTTTTTTTTCGAAAATAATATGTTATCTGTGCGCTGTATCGATCAACAATTTTGATCCTAAATTATAGTGTGCTGTGGTCAGACCTTAGAACAAAATACAAAAAGTTAAACGCGATTTTCGTGTGGCTTCGGTTGTAGCAAAACGTAAGTCTGGCATTTTGTTTTTGTCAAAAATAATAAATTCACGTGTAGGCAAATAGTAGGTGCTAATCAATCCATAAATTCAAGTCCATAAATTCGCTCGCCCGCTAATCAAAAGTCGACCGTACCTAATCACAGACACAATGACACTGGCCAAATGCACGAATGGTGCCGAGCCAATATTAAGAAGAAGAAGAAGAAGAATCACAGACACTTCTAATTTCAAACTCACGTTTCGTAGTGTATTTTTTTTGACCGAAAGACCGTTTCCAGAAATTGTTATTAATAAAATAGTGAAAAGCAGCTAAACAAAAAACTGTTTGAATTCATAAAAGAAAATGCACTGAATTATTTTTGAGGTTTGGAGTCTAAATGATAAGCCATCAATAATCATAAGCAGTAGAAAAGCACGCACTAATTTTGATCTTATTTACATGGTAGCTTTTGAAAGATCGTAGATCTTTTTACTGGTGGTAGGACCTCTTGTGCTTTGAAGAGTGGGGTAGCCGTTGTAACTATACTGAGACCCTAGAACTTATATCCCAAGGTGGGTGGCGCATTTACGTTGTAGGTGTCTATGGGCTCCAGTAACCATTTAACACCAGGTGGGCTGTGAGCTCGTCCAACAATTTAAGCAATAAAAAAAATCATAATAATAATAATTGTTGGCGCCATTTATTAAATTAAGCCACTTGCTTCAGCGACACCCACCCAGATTAATAGCGAATCGTTGTGACACTTTTTCTTAAAAAGATAGCGTGCTGTTTACTTTTACCAACGATGTGTAGGTATTATCTATGATCCATAGTACATATTTTACGAAATATTTCAGTATATGACCACCATTTTACTGAGATTATATTTCATCCCATATCATCTCATCTCACTCACTCTCATCATCTCATTTCATTTAATTTCATGCCAGTTGATTAATGTCTCAAATTATTCATCTTTATTTCATTTCACTCCATATCATTTTTCATAAAAATAAGAATATAAATTAAAATAAAACATGACCTAAAGGTCTTAGTAACCAGGTCATAAAATCCTATAATTTTTTTTTACGAAAATAAGGCTATTTAACTGTTCCTTCGTTTTAGGAGACAGGCAAAGATGTAGATGGTCGTAAAGCCATTTCTTCAATTAGCTGCAGCAACAGAATTTTAACATCCCGTTAACTGACTTAAAGTTTAAAACTACTTATCAATAACTTCTAGTTTTAAGATATTTTGTGTAAATTGTATCAGATTTACAAAAATTATGAATTCGAATAATTTTTTTAAACAATTCCATACATACAATTTTGAAGTTCGCTTAATGTCAAATACAAAACCAAAATGTCCGAATCTCATTTAATTTGTCCTCCGTATAATTACTTGAGAGATGCAAAAATTTACAACAAAAAAGACGAAATCGTACCCTGGCACTGGATCGAGGAGAACGCCGATATTCTCGTCCTCCTATTCACCGCTAAGGGGATAGATAAAGATGGAATTATAGAAAATTTCTATAAGATTTACGAGAACGTGAAACACCGTAATTTCCCTTTAGAAGTGATTTATGTGCCCACGGACGAAACCGAAGACGATATGAAGGCGTGCTATGAGGAGCAGGCGAACTGGTTTACTCTTAAGCTTTCTGACAGCCTGGTACCGGCACTCATGTACATATACGAAATAACATGCATTCCACACGTTTTGGTAATCAATGTGAACGGTAGCGTTATTTCGAAGCATGGTTTAATTGATTTGGTCGAATATGGTAAAAACGCTGTCGTCTCGTGGCTTTCCACATCCGGGCCGACCAAAAATCACAGGAGGGTAAGCAAAGATGCAGCGATGTACGGGACGGAGTGGCGCTTCCACAATGCGTTCAAGCCACACGCGCAGTACAAGAAAAAATTCAGCGACTTAGCTGAAGCAACCTCCAAAGAGACATGACGTCCTAGTACTTTTGTAGAAGAAATTGACTATTAAAATTATTTATTAATAACACGACTCTTACTTCATTTGCCATTTCAATTTTTTTTATTGCCTTTGTAAGCAGACGAGCGTACGACCCACTTGATGGTAGGTGGTTACCGTCGCCCATGGACTTCAGCAATGCCAGGGGCAGAGCCAAGCCGCTGCCTACTGTTTAATACTCTCCACGAGCCTCGTTTGAAAAAGGACATGTCATAGCGCTCGGGAAACACCGTGGAGGAGAGCTCATTCCATAGCCGGATGGTACGTGGCAAAAAAGACAAAAAAGATAAAAACAGACAAAAGCAGACTTCTCTCCGTTTTCCTAAATAGTAATTTATCTTCAGAATATGTATTGATTGGATCACGTTTGCCACTAGTTGAACAAACACTTGTCTAGCTGAACCCTAATTTGAAAAGTTTATCATCAATCAGAAAGTTCTTTATCATTGATATTGACGTGTCGTATCGATAGCCGATAATTGGATTTGACCAAGGGAATTAGGAAAATACCGAGTTGAGTTTGCACAAAGGCGAATTGTTGTATCAGAATCTGTTGGTCAAGGTCAAGACACTTCTGTGTGCTTAGTCCGATTTTTTTAACGTTTTCGATAACGTAAAAGTTAACTGAAATATGTATGCAGTTGGAACAGCGCCCTTAGCGGCACACGTAGGCGAACGTCCCAACTCCATTCAAATTTGAGTTAACTTTTACGCTATCGAAAACGTTACAAAACTCGTAGGTACTAAGCACACTAGTCCTAAGAGCTAGAGTGGTATGATGACTAATTTCATGTACCTAGTGTTGTACGAAAATTTTATAAGTTGACTATAGAATATTTTATCTCCATCTTAAGAATCTTATTAGTTTATTACTGGTGGTAGGACCTCTTGTGAGTCCGCGCGGGTAGGTACCACCGCCCTGCCTATTTCAGTCGTGAAGCAGTAATGCGTTTCGGTTTGAAGGGTGGGGCAGCCGTTGTAACTATACTTGAGACCCTAGAAATTATATCTCAAGATGGATGGCGCACTTAACACCTGGTGGGCTGTGAGGTCGTCCACACATCTAGGCAATAAAGAAAAAAGATTTTATTTTTTTATCTTTTTTCACTTGTCGACCTTCCGGGTCACAGTCCTATTCTTCCTTTTGTTGCCTATCTTACTGCTACCTAATTAGTTTTGAGAGGCCATTTGGTCATATTTCTAAAAGCGTCTTTGGAATCCCCAGCCTTTCTAGTCTTTCCACCCGTTCTACCACTAATCAGCAAGGACTATTTTTCTTTCTTTCGAGTTCTCTGAGAAATTATTACAACAGAAACATGAAAAAAAAATGTTTGGTTAATAGTGCCTTAACCAAATTGTGTGTTCCATCCTTGTCAAGGGGAGTGCTAACCGTCTCTCCTTTCAATAGACACGAGAAATTTGTTGAGCTAAAGACTTATATACGGAATTTTTATAAAAAATTACATGCGCGATTTATGTAATTTGTATTTATTTTTAATATTAAATACATTATGTGAATATTTAGTATTGTTTTGTTAGTATTGCAGTTACTGAAAGATATTTTGATCTAACAAAATTATTTTTATCAAAACGATTGGGAAATAGAACAATAATTCTTTGTAAAATCAAACTAAGATTTTGAGCGCCATCTGTTGACGCGTTAGCAAAGTAAAAAATTTAAAGCTGCAAATCAATTGCGAAGAGTTAGGCTTTTATTTTTTAAGTAATCTTTTTCACTTTTACACTTAAAATAATTATGACTTATTAACCTTTTAGTTTTCGTGAAATTGCACAAATGTGGAAGAATATATAACAAATATGTCAGATGAAGCTTTTTCTTTCTTTCAAAAAATTTATTAGTCTTAGTAAATTTCCACCAGTTTATTGGGATACTTAATTTAATTTCATCCAAATTGATTACAAATTCGATGATCAAATGATTAACTTAATTTCGTTACCGATCCGTTTCATTTCTCATATTTATTCAATAAACTTAAGTTTATCATGTAAATAAAAATAATTTCATAGTAAATAGGCTTGACGCTGGCAACAATTACATCGCAAGAGGCCGATTGCACTATGCTGGAAAAAGGAGAGGAATATTTAATCATTACTGCACTTTTGCGATTCTAATAAAAAAATAAGGCGTTTTTAAATTTGGCTTGATTTTGGAATGTGTATCAAACATTTCAAAATCAGCGTACCATTCGTTGATACCAATTTTCAAAATAGTGTTAACCCTATTGGGTAAAAGTAAGTAGCAACATTTACTTAACGGTTCTTATTTATATATTTATCGTAAGGTGATTTGTGAGGCCAACACGCTTTAAGTAGGATCAGCTTTGCCAGCCTCAGCAACATAAAAGGTCCGGTTTGAAGGGTGAGCCCTTACTTTCCCGATCCTGCGGACCGAATGGAAAGTAGTCGACGTCGCCCTGAGCACGTCATTTCGGATCCTCTCGATCCCCTAACGATGCTTTTAGGTACCCCAAGCACCGGTCATCGTTCTTGTCGAACCCGTCGCTTGCGACGAAGGGCTCGACGAGTAAATTAACCCACAGACACAATCCACTGAGCTTCTCGCCGGATCTTCTCAGTGGGTCGCGTTTCCGATCCGGTGGTAGATTCTGCGAAGCACGGCTCTTGGCAGGGTTAGTGTTAGCAACGTCGTAAGGTTTGAGCCCCATGAGCTCACCTACTAGCTCGGCGAATCTAGAATAACCTCTCGAGCTTACTAGATAGGTAAATAGGTAGAAAAAAAAAAGTGAGGCCTTTATACCATAGAAACTTCGAGCTCTCACGGAGGTGATATTCACGCTGTGACGTCAATGAACGCCAGTAACCACTTAATTCTAAGCGGACTTCAAGTACCAATCAAATAAATCCCAATTTCCTCTAAGCGTGTACTTTACAAAAGCAATGATTAACATATCGAATTGTCATCGTAAAATATGCAAATCGCCAATTTAAAAAACTGGTTTTATGACTTTAACGTCCACAGATTAAAAATCTATAAATTTGACAGTCAATAAATCTTGACAGATTTATAGAGGGTCGTTTGACATTGTGATTGATCAAGTGCCTACATAATTTCGATTCACACTGCTACAATTTACGTGTGTTCGATTAATGTTGCCAAACGTGGGTTTATTATTTATTAGTTATTAAAATAATTCGTTAAATTACGTAACAATAAATATCATTGTGTAGTACCACATTTTAATACATCTGTTTTGAAATAAGAAGCGATGGAACAGATCTTAGTAACTCCGAAAAAGCATAAAATTTTGTTCATTATTCAATAATTAAAATTCGGAAATAACCTTATTCATAAATTACTAAACTGGTGTTAGGATAACATTGATACGAATATATCGTAGTTAATAAGAAAATAGCTTTCAATCTTTTAAGTTTTTATGACCACTAAATCGATTAAGACAACATTTGGTATGTAAATAATTTGAACAGTTTGGAAAATAATATAGAGGCTACCTTGCGTCTTACTTATTGGGCCCATACGCGAAATTGTAGTCTAAGCGGGCGACACTCCGGGTGGAAAGCTAGTTAACTAATATAACTTTTAATTGCCTTTTTGGTCTATTTGTGAGTGTTTCTGTACTCTACCACGGTGTTCGGGTTCGTTTTGTGGTTGAAGTCAATGTCTATGTCAATGTTTAGTCCGATGAAACGGCGGTAGATCTAGGCTGCTGAGCAATTAGTATACCTTTGCTTAAAAAAATCATAGATAAAAAGTTGAAACCCTATTCGATAGGCATTTATTTACTATAGCTAGTTATCTGTACCTCAAGACAATGTTACATTCTACCAGCGTCAACGCTATGGTTGTGGACCATGGCTAAAACCCACTGAGTTTCTCAGCGCATCTTCACAGTAAATTCAGAGAAGCATTGTTCTTGCTAAGGCTAGTGTTAGCAATTCTCTCAGGTTGTAGCCGGGGTCAGGGTGAGCTATGAGCGATTAGGTAGGAAAAAAGGACTTTTAAGCGGGAATGCCATGTGCGGCTGTGTCAATTGTTTTATTTTGATATCATACTGTTTCTTCTGGTTTAAATGTTAACGCTTGTCTTATTAACTATTAACTAGGTAAGTATTTGTGAAGCTGCACGAATGTCTATAAATTTATGCAAATATTTTTATGTATTAAATACTGATTAAGGACTACATGAACTCGATACTGACAAAGACATCGCAAGGAGTCAATTGCCATAAAGAAAAAAGAAAAAAAACATTGCATTGATCGACGATTGTAGTTTCACAACAAAAAATCTGATTCTACTTGTTTCGACGACAATTAACATAGATAATACCACAATACAATAAGCAACACTACACAGATTATAAATATTCATTTGTGTTTTTTTTTTTCTATTGATCGAGACAATGGACTCACCTTACAGAATCGATTAGGTAATAAAACCTGTGTTCGAATCTAGATACGCTTGAATTGCGTCACGGTTGCCTTATACCCTGTTTTTATGTAGGTTGATGTTCATAACTAGTTAGGTTACGTATTGTAATTATTGTCTTTACCTTTTTATTTTTATCATCTGATCAAATATTAGGCGGAATGCTTGCACTGCCAGCCGCAGACTTGCTTGGAATCTTTGAGCTCTGTAATACTGTGCACAACCAAATCAGAGTTGATGAAAATAAACCATACTACACTACATTTATTCACTACATTAATGGCCCGGTTTAAATCTAGTAGTGTTAATCTTAAAAATAGTATCTGCGATTATTTATGCCCCATGAATAACAGATGGCGTTAATAATCTAACAAGATAGCTTTTAAAAAAATACTGTCAATAATTAATAATACCCAATTAATAGCAGATGGAGTTAATTATAGGTTCATACAATTTATTGGACTATTAATTATCCAATATCACCTGAATACTGTGTTAATTGTTTTAACCCACCTGGTGTTAAGTGGTTACTGGCACTTAACACCAGGTGGGCTGTGAGCTCGTCCACCCATCTAAGCAACAACAAAAAAAAAAAAACATTATGGAGCCGGTCGGGACGTCATATAAATTTCAGGAAACGCACTACGGATGAACACAATTGTCCGACGTAACCATCAGATCTTATATTGGGGTATAAAGCTTGGGTGCCTAATGCAACGTCTAGCTTACATTAAGTTTATCACGCGAATAATTATATACTAGAGACATGAACAGCGAATACGGAACTCGACCATAAACGCGGCGTTTACGAACGTGTGTCATCGTTAATTCGAGAGATTAACTGTAATGGCGTAATAAAATCAGCTACAGAATTAAAATGTCACATAAAGAGTGTCGGACAGAATTATTTTGGATTTAATGGCCATTACCTTTGGATGCGAGATTGAGTGACTGCGTCGTTTGCTGGTGTGATCGTCACATGGCTTGAGAAGTTGATCGGTCTGGCTACTATACGAAATCCAGATTTGATTTCCAGTGGGAATTAATATATTGTTACGCGCTGGGGTTCGAGATAAATAGAACTTCCACCGAAATACAAATTAAAACTCTATTTAACAATTAGAACACTTACAGAGCACTTTAAAATTCGTAATTCACTTCTTCCGCTTCGCTTCAGGTGATCCCTTCGTTGTTTCACTTCGAGTAGATCCGCTTATTAACTGCCTTCGTGACATCCCTGTAAAGCTTTAAGAGTCGATACGACATCCCTAGAATTATCGAGAACATTCCTGACAAGTCGAGTATTTCCGATATGCGTTTCCGCCATTTCACGGTAGATGGCGTTGTACTTCTCGAGCGTTTTCGGGCTTACGAGTTCTTTTGATATTTGTTTCTGCTATTTGACGAAAGATCTTTCGTCATCTTTCGTCTTACAACGTAATGAAACGTACAACGTAACAATATTAATGAAAAAAATCTGATATCCAGGGCCCTGTTGTTCCCCCGGTGAAGGTCAAGGGGCGACCTGAGGGGGTGAGGCCGCGCGGCGCGCTACCAGCACTCTAGCGCGCTGCCGTGGAGTGAATAGAGCGACCGGTCGACGGTGTATCGCGTCCCGACCCGGCAGGCTGGTTCTGGTCCAGCGGGGTATTCCGGGACACCAGCGGCACCGTCTGGGCGGCCCGACGGGCTGCCGTACCGAGACGGCCGACGTTTCAGAGCCTTCGATTCGCCTCGAAGGCTCCGTCGGCTGGGCGTCCTTGGGGTGAGCCGCGCCGTCTGGTTGTAGTGTTGACCGCGGTAGCCCCCCTACCTCATCCGGGTTCTGACCTCGGAGGGGATCGGACGTCGGGTGTAAGAGTGCAGGGGAGTCGTTTAGTGGGTGGGTCCTAAAATCCTTGGGCCCGCGGTCTGCTCACAACACCATGCAGATCGTTGAGTCTCACATACCCCGCGCGCCCCTTTTGCGCGGGGACCTCGTAGGAGGTTCGGCCCTCTACCCGAAAAAAAAAAAAAAAAAAAAAAGGGCCCTGTTGTTCTTGTCTCATGCTTACCGGAGCCATAGTTACTTCTTCATTTTCTTGCCCTTATCCCACATTATGTATGGTCGGTACTTCAGGTTCTCTAATCATGCTCACTATGCAGGAATGCAGTAAACCTACCACATCCATATTTGGTACGAGTTTTACGACCGGCCGCCGGCCTGACGTCAATCCTCCTTGGGTGCTATCTTCACAAGTATATCCATTGAGACGTGCCATAGAGGAAGGACCATTCTATTCCTCTGTTTGCATCTTACATTTTTTTTTTTATAATAACGTCAAAATGAATAGTAGTTATAAGACTGAGGGAAATCCTAGATTTGAGTATTTGAATTTGGAAACTTCACGCACGCCATTTAACTTACGTTGATCGTACTATAACAGAACCTCCCCTCAAGGGGTAACAACAATAAGGCCTTCAGCGCAAAATTGGCTTAAGCTTTTAAGAATTTACTCTTACACTGCTTTGCAAAAACAATACGCGCAAAAATAATATTTACAAATCCATCTGTTATCTAAGTAGGCCGGTTTTGCATCAAAATTGATTTATGTTTTAAATAAATTGCAATATATAAGCGCGAATATGGAAAATCGTGAACCCACAATTTTTCATATTCAAAAATTCAAATTAAGACAATTTATCTATTTAATTTATCTTTTTAAAAAAAGTGGCCTCACCAGGCCACTTTTGCGCTGACGGTCTCAATTGTCTTAAATTTCGTGACAGTCATTTTTTTTATAATAATATGGTCTCATTACTGGACGAAGGGGATATGATACAGTTTGTTAATTTTGAGAAAACGGGCAACAAACTTTTGTTACTTGTACTTTTTCTTCGAACATAACTCGTTCATCACATGCGATTCCTAAAAATAGCCTTTGAACTCGGAGTTTTAACGTCTAATATGGTTTATAGGTATATAACACTTCAATGTAAAAATTCAAAAAACTTAAAAATGGTACCTAACCCCCTAATCCACTCACATCTTCAATAATATAAATAAGTGCCATTAGACCAGTGGACTCATCAGTAGCTCATGTATTTCAGGAGCTCTTCGTGCCGATCAATACTAAAGGGGAACTGTATGAGGTCTGTCCCGAGGAGCTCACTCCGGCAGAGTGGGAGAACGGCGAAGTACCAGTGTCACCTCCACCTCCCGAGGCTGGCACGAAGGCGCATCGTTTGCCGCACCTGTTGAGCCTGTGGCGGCTGCCGACCAGGGTACGACTGTTGGCGGGAACGGTGCCCATCGAAATGGCACATGATGTCGGAGGTACTTATCTATTTTGGAATTATCTTCTTTTTTTCTTTAATTTATTGATGCACAAAACAAATTACAATCATTACAGTACATATTAGCTAAATCGTACAAGTAATACCTAGATCTAATCTGATTTGCAATCTAAATACTATGTGCACTCGGCAAAACCATATTAATGTGCATAGCTTTGGCTATTGAAAACACAATTGAAATTACAAATATTGATAACTAGCCATTGTTAAATAGGATATCCTTCACACATTTAACAAATCCCCTGAGTCTAGGTTCAAAGATATCAAGGTTACCGTGACATTTAGCCAAATCATCATACTGCCTGATCATTCTTATCACAGGGTTATAGTATGATATATTATTTTTATATGTCCGTAACGCAAAGAGGTTTACCAAATGCGAAATTTTTTGGCTTTTAATTAGCGATACTGATGAGAAAAGAAAAACCATCAAAAATAATATTTTTGTGAATCATAATTACTAATTTTTTATTTACATTACAGAAGACCTCCTGCTGCGGGCGGCGGTGACTGAACCAGTCCTGGTCATGTGCAGTCTTCCCGAGTACGGTTCGATACTATCGAGCCCTAGTAAACAAGTCGACCCACGTTACCACGCCAAAGAGGCATTGCGACTACTACCTCTCAATGGCGACATCAGAGTCCGCCGCACGCAGCTCGGCTTCGAGAACGAGAAGCGAATGTTCCTCTCCGCTCGCCTACAAAAAGCTCTAACCTTCTGTCAACACAACGTTGACAACTGGATCAGGCAGATCTCCTACGCGAACTCGTCCGTCATCGGCAAAGCGAAGACAGCTGAAGACATCATGAAAGAAGACCAGGAGCCGGTCAAATTTGAAAAGGAACGAAAATTCACACTGCAAGGCCTGAAGATCGATCCTTCCAGACTGTTCGGTAAAAGTGAAAAGGTTCTAAAAGACATACCCGACGAAACCGAAGGATCCATTATATTTTTAAGTAAAAACGAACTCGAGCACATGAACTACGAGATGTATAGCGATGACGAGGTAAAAGATAACAAGAGCGACGATAAAACAGAACAAGAGGGTTTCTCCAATGAAAAAATGCACGTCTTTCGAGAAGATTCCGGACAGAAGAAAAGCAAGTGGTTTAAAAATTTAAAACGCCTGAAGAGCGCCGAGAAACTTGCAGACGATAAGGTATCGGCGAATCAAAAACCATCCGAAATACGGGATCCATTCGATCGACTCGGAGAGAAGCATAGTTCTATTGAGCGGTACCAGGACATGGCAAAGTTGATAGAGGATAGGTTCGGTGCGTCGAGAAAAAGCGACAGTACGGCCGAGAATAGCCATTCATATAAAAGTTTAACAACGTCGTCCTCCGAAATGGGAACTAGTCAATGTAGCTCAAATCACAAGAAACCGGTGCTCACAAAATCAGTTTCGGTTCAAACCGGAATGCCTAATAGCTCCGAAGACGACAACAATGAAATGAACATGAAACACGGAAGAAAGAACTTGAGTGTGGACCAAATAAATTATTGCGGGTCCATGGAAAGCGACACTAGTTCGGGCAGAAAGCTGAAGTCTCTCGACGAAAACATGCTAAAGAAATCATCGGCTACGAAGTCATCCTCGAATTTGGAAAGGCGCCAGAGGATCCAGCCAGATTTGATACCGGAAAAGGCTATCGTGAAATCGGAATCATACAATCAAATTCACAGCTGCGAAGACATCAATATGTACGGAGCCGGCTCTTTGTTTAACGATAGCGAATTCGAAATAAACTACAAGCAGCACTCGTTCATAACCGACAAACTCTGCTCCGAGTTCCACGTCAAGACAAAGAAGGTTCTGAGCAAGTCCACGTCTAATTTACTGCATCCTAAGAAAACGAACGATAAGAAAGAAGGCAGTAACAGCAACAGCATGCCGACGAAAACTGAACGCGGCAGTGACGCTGAGAGATTTAACTTCAGAAAGAAAATAGACAAACCGCGGGCTCCGACCCCGAAATCGGAGGAGGAAGACGCGCTAGTCGATATTTCAGAAACGCAAACAAAAGTTAGAAGATCCATATCGTCCATACAGAAACGGAAGTTACCTGTGATAGAGGATCTGCCGTACGGTCAAGTAGCCGACGCGGTCGACGTCGATGAAGAACCAATCGAAGCCGACGGTATATCCGATAATATATACGCTGAAATATGTCCACCGAATCATAACAAAACGGACAATGACTACGACATGAACATAGACGTGCTGGCCAACGATCCCGTTATACGTAACGTTAAAAAGGAAGTGATCACAAGAAACGATGAAAGAGCGAGACAGATGATGATCGAAAACCAAGAAAATCCCTTCAGGCACATCGAAGTGGTCGTTATAGAGAAAACTGACTTCGAACTTGACGATTCTAGTGTTACGTCCAGTGATATAGAAGATAGGCCGGCTGTATCCATAGTAGATTCGTGGGAGAGGGAGAACGATGCTAGCAAGGTCCACGCTATTCGCTTAGAAATAACATCTCACGAATATACAAACGAATGTCAGAGTATTGACGATTCCGAAGTAGTTCTAAGTAAAGATTCGTTGAGTTTTAGTAATAGTATACATTTGAATGGCAATTATCCCAACGAAGCCATTTATGATACGTTAAAATAGAAAAAGGAAACATGATAAAGAAAAAAAAAGCGATTGAAAAATTTAGTTTTAGCATTGAAAATTATCGAAGTATGAATACAGCTGTGTGAAATGTGATATTACGTGTATTTGTTTTGTGTTCGTTTCATTAGATCAGTTATAGATGAGTGGGTCGTATCAATTCAGTATCACGTGAAAAGTCATAGAGTAGAGTTTTGTGTTTAATTTTTTTTTTTGACAGTGTTGTTTTAGTGAAGTTCATCTCCACGGTTTTGTGAAAGTCGTGTGAACGCGGGGTCTTAAGCTTTTCGTGTCGTCAGAGCGATTTGTAGACTCTGTATAAGTGTTCCGTGTATAGTGAGGATTTTGTTATTCAATTTTGCGTCCATCAAAATTATCATCTGAGACGGATCTGTTGTAACTAGTTCTCGTCTTTGAAAATATTTCAAATTTAATTTAAAACAGTGGTCTTAATTCGATACGTTAATCGAATAACGAAACTTAAGGAACTGACGAACAAGGGTAATTTCAATGTATTTGTATACACAACACATTAAGCATCATTAAATATGAATAAGAAATTTGTAAAAATTCAGCACTGAAGGCTTATAGGGCAAAATGAATTCACTTTCTACCTTTTAGTAATTTCAATTTTTATTAATCAATAACCTCATAACTTAAAAGGTGCTCAATTATATCGGTAGTAAATTCACTGAGTTGTTTGATCAATTAATATTTTCAAGCGCCTTAATTTAGCAATGTATTCACTATCACCGCTAGATGGCGCTGTCCTCAATAATTACTATTAATTTTAAGTACATTAGAATTGTAATTTTTAATACCCTAAAAACACAGTGCACGATCTTGGTGCTAAGCAAGGTGCTCCTATTTTATATACATATGCCTATTTTAATAATAAATATACACCTACCAGTTTCATTATTTTTTTGTAAGGAAAGGATTGGTTCAATGTATAAACATAGAGACTACAATGTATTTCTTCTAACTTGCGTACATTGCGTTCAAGATTTGATATTCTGTGAAAGTCCGTGGACCTCAAGCTGTCCAAGGAACAGTTATTTTGCCATGTCACAGAAATTATTATTATTTTAATTATTTTCGAAAGAAGACAAGGCTATGGCTCAACTAAGGTTCAATGGTTACTGTTGTTCATACACGTCAGTAGTTAAAAGTATAAGTACATTAGTAGCAGAATCCTCACCTATTTACTAGATAACCCCACCGCTCCTATCCCAGCATAGGTCCGTATCATCATCTTCATACCATCATGCAGCGAGCATAGGCTTAGGTTTGAATAGTAGACAGTCTATTAATGCAGCCTAAATCTCTATCTTCAATCAAACATAAATGTCTGCACTTAGCTTTTAAGATCAGGTAAACCTCAAAAAACTCCTTTGTTGATGTCAAGAAAAATTGTATTAAATAGATTTTAAAATCCGAATATAGAAACACTGTCTGGCGATAAATATACAATTATACGTCCGTGTGCTTCGCTTGCTATCTGCGTTTACCGTCCATAGATTATATTTATATTCAAAAGAAATCTGGATTCTTCCGGTTAGTTTAAAATCGTAGAACGATGGCACTAAATTATAATATTTTACTGAAACATGGACCGTCTAAGTAACTGGTATACGCTCATTTAATTTGCTGTTGAAATAAATGTGTACGTAAAAATTCCGTTTTTTTTACGGTTGGCACACACGCCTAACCTAAATATTATTTTTTGAGCAGCACAATTGCATATTGTAACGGCCAGTTTTTAACTCTAATGGATTGATAATATTTTATAAGATTGTAGTGAAGCGAATTGACCTAATATTGATTACACACAAAATGAAATAAAATACTTAATAAAAAAGATGGCGCCCGACACAATGCATAGCTAATACTAATCACTAAAATGGCGTTCAAAAATTAATAAAGAATTACATAATTCTACTTAAACAACAAAAAATAACAATTACTTAATTCTCCTTAAACGATTCATCACTAAGTCTATATAGTCAATTGTTTTTCTAAACGTACCTAACAAACCCCAACAAAAACTATTATGTAGTATTTACGCATTAAAAAATGTATTACTTATGTATGAATCAACAAATAAATGCACATTATTTTCAATTTTAAATGTTCCGAACCACCTAAGAATAAAATCTGTTTGTACTATTGCTAAGCATACATTACGGTATTAATGAGGTTTTTAAAAAACAACAAAGAATGTAGGTAGGTTTATTTGTGTGAATTATGCGAGCTTGATCGGTTTGTTATTAAAAATAATTGCAGTATATATAAATTAGTTTGTAAGTACCACATATCACATATCTATTATGACATTAAACATGACAATTTTTTTTAAGTCATTTGTAAATTAATATGTAATACTTACGTGAATATACTTATATTTTAATACATTGTATGTGAAGGAACGAATTCGCTCTAAGTCTGAAGAAGCTCTGGAAAAAATGTATTGAATTAAATAAATGAAAAAAAAATTTTGTTTTTATTTTACTAAGACCTTAAATTAATGTGTTGGACTTCAATATTTAATTGCGGTCACGTCCTTACGGATCCATCAGATCCGATAGCCCTTGCATTAGACACCTTTAGCTCTAACACTAGGAGTAGGTTACTGGTGGTAGGACCTCTTGTGAGTCCTATAGTATATATATTAGATAGAGTGTATATATTAAAGTAATGATTCTTTATATTGCCGACCCTGATTAGGATATCAGTAATAAGTAATGAAGTTATTGTATTTTCATCGGTTCTATTATACACACGTGTTACTTTGCGCAAAACGGACGTTTTGATGTTACCGAAAAATCATTGAAAGATTTCGTTATGCAGAAAATAAAAAGAAATGAATTCCTCTCCGTTCTAAACGTGACTATTGTTAACAATCTATTGACGACAATGGTTGATAAACGAATTATTAAATATTGAGTCCGTAAATTCTGTCCTTTTTCACGGCTTGGGTTAACTATTTGAAATCACTTGGAATTCGCCTTTAACATCATCGACATTATATTAGAAAAATAAAGAACACAACATGATAATTTGACAAATATACTGTATTTCATTCAAATAAATTACATTATTAAAATTAAACAAAACAAAATATGATCTACTATTTCGTTAGTGACGTGAAAACGAATAATTTCATTCTAATCATTTAAAATACACCAGTGACCATAGATTATGGACATTGTGCGTTTTTTTTTTCAAATCTACAATCGATTAAGGGAATGAATTTTTTTTGACATCTATTAAATGCTCTTAAATATTAATTATTTTACATTATACAAGAATATATGGAAACATTGACATTTTGGGATTATGAACTGGATTTCCCTGGTCATCTATGAACTTCACTCAGTCGCATACATACTTATGAGAGAATAGAAAAAATATTCAAATAAAAAAAACGATTACTTTATTCATTACATTTTAATGGAATTTGTGGCTTGAGTTGTCTTTAAAAATTATATTGAAAAAGAGACAAAAATTCATCGAAAATTCTACAATCGATACCTCAACGTCCCTAATAACCTTATGTATCGGCGTCCCGTTTTAACCCTGTAAGTGTGAAAGAGACATCAAGCCACGATTGCACAGTTAAAGGTACTAATGGCCGCCTCCGAAAACACTCTCTCTCATGTCGATGAAGAGATGCTGGTGTAAATTGTGCCTTAACTTTAGATGGATAGTGTTGTTATTTTATTGTGTTTTCGATAGCAGTTCTCCAGTTGTCTTCGTGATTTAAGCTAGTCTTATTGATTGGATTATCTGGAACACAGCAGAGCCACACACTACGAAGATGAAGAGAGCAAGGAGCCAGGGTGCCACAGGATATTGGTCTTCTTTTTCCTGTAAAAAAAAAATCAGTCTTAAGTCATGACCTTAATTTATATAATTCTTGTCTCTGTGTACATTAGTGAAATCCTCCTAAACGGCTGGACCATGTTTTGTGTTCTTATGGGGATTCGACAATGGTTTAGACTGTTTAGAGTCACAACTCAGTCCACAACACAAAAAAAAAGATATTATAACAAAAGTCTGAAATTTTGGGTTTAAGATTTGTGTTTACTGGACAATGTCTGTCAAATTAATCTTAATATAAAAAGAACTTTTGTAGGATTGCTACAGCATATTTAACTATAGATTTTATTTATTCAAATTGAATGGTACATAATAATATCTAATTCAAGCCAGTTGATTACTGTCAGATATGGTAGATAGCTAGCTAGATATCTCCATGCATTGATTCTATATGAAAAATTAAAAACCGGACTGGCTTAATAATATTACCTAGGACCTCTAGTGCAACCAATACCTCCTAGATGACTACTCACTATACTTAACATAATTATTATACTAAGTGTTAATATTTCATATAAACGGCCATGACTTGAAGACGAAGATGTAGACCTAAGAAGAAATTGATGGATTGTGTGAAAGACGATATGTGTAAGAAAAGAGTGAGCGAAGAAATGGTATATGATAGAGGAGTATGAAAAGAGAAAACATGTTGCACCGACCCCAAGTGACTGGGAGAACGGCAGGAGAATAATAATGATGAATGATGATAAACGGCCATAGCTCGGGAATCGTTCACAGAACACAGTCACAGTCTACAACCAGATCAGAATCACGACCCACTGAGAATACCTGGTGAGAAATTCTGTGGGTTATTGAAGTTGAGAATTCTTTTACAATTTCAATAAAGTTATATTGTTGAGACAAGTTAGTGGATTGATTTATTTAAAGCAACAATGTTTTTCATTATTCGAAAATATATTATATACCTTAGTAGTTTTGGGTACATTCCCCCTCATTGTTATGTTTTTACTGGCGATCTCGTTGGCGATACGCATTCTCTGCTTAGGGGCCATTTTGTTTTGTTATAAAGTATATTTGTCCTGTAATGAGAAAATAAACACAACATGTATGCTTGTAACAAACAAAGTAAGTATAATATGTGAGGGTATAAAAGTACATATGGTATGAATTATCCATTAGTTTGATATCTTTGTATTTTTTTTATTTTGCATTTAGTATCTTAACTCAATAAAGATTCTAATAGTAAAATCTTGGCAAAATATTATTATATACCTACCACACATATGATAGTAGAATTTCATAATGAACTCTATTATCTGTGTTTTGTGATTCGAGGTGTATTTGCTTTTATGCTCTCTCTGGAATGATCTGTATGTCCTATACTACCATGATATATTATATTTGAAGATTTGCCTGTTTATCTATGCTTTCCTATTAGATAGAAACATTACACTATTCTTTCATAGTTTATTAAACATAATTTCTGAAAGTAAAAACTTACAGATGTTTGATAGTTTTTTTTTGGTATTCTTAGACTCAACCTAATAGTAGCAATGTTTTGTTTGCATGTAACTGTTTTTTTAAGAATCTGTTACACATGATTATGCTGTTTTTAAGTCGATTCTTTATGGAATTTCAAGTAAGTCAATATCATATTTCTATATAATTAGCTTTGCTTATAATCAAGTTAAATTCATGTGCTTTATAATTGGGGAAGTTCAGTAAGCTCATGATGAATATGATAGCAATTGCTGCAGTCTGTGAGCACAATGTGAGTGCAGCTGTCCTCCTTGAGACATGAAGTCTCTATGGTATTGGAATATTAATTCTAACTACCTGGACTACATTATTCTCACTCAAGTGCCTTAAAGCAGTGGCTACTGACCATTTATGTTTTGCATCTAAACTGTCTTATTTTTTTTTAAATTAAAATTTTATTTTTTGGAGTAAATCATTATGAAGAAATATGAACTGTTTTAATCACAAGCTAGGTTTTAAACAATTTATAATACCATGATTGATAACAAGACAAAACAATTTTTTGTTTTCGCAGTAACTTTAAAAATATCTAAATAGTTGATACCTAAGCTCAAAATGCTGAATGTAATTTAGTAATCAATAGTAGTGGTTATGAATCTGTTTTTGTAAACAAAACTGTAAACTTAAAACATTATTTTGTGTTTCTTTTGTAAAGGCAAAACTTTCAATTACTGTTTTAATAAATAAACTACATAGTCAGAAATTTTATAGGTTTATCGCGTTTCTTAATTTTACAACTGTAACAATCAAAACATTGTACACGTCATATCAATGAATTAATGCGTTTCACTAAATAGGGTATCACAATCGATTATATTTAGAGTGATAAGTCGCTTAATGATTTAAATATATATCTAGATTTAATAACGACGCAATATTTATTAACGTTTGGATAAAAATGAGGATTTTTTTTTAGGTAAATACAAATTGACACAGCTGTTTCTCGTTTTGTAGAAAGTTCTACACGAGATTCGTTGAAAATGTGCAAGTTATCCTACTTTTTTGTAACCAGTATAGACTTTACTGGCTGCTAGTAAAATTGTAAAGCGAATGAAGAGTATTCCTAAGGAATTAAGCGTTTTTA